TGGACTTTCAAGGTGTTTGATGAACAATCTGGCCTTCAACATCATCTCACTGATCTGCTGGATGCTGGGCTCCACTGAACAACAGTCTCTGCTTTGTTCCCTCCCCTACCTCTTTTACCATTTCTCTCCGCACTTTTAACCCAACAATAGTTACTTGTTTTCCTTCAAAGAACTATTGTCATTCTGAGGAAGAGGTCAGAGCATTTCCAGCCTATATTAAATTCACTCAAAAAAAAATTTCCCCAAACTGGGAAATTTTTAGATCTCTTCCCAGACTGTATTACTGCTTCAATTATGTTCCCCAATAGTTTCACTCCTGAAATCTAGTAATCCTGTAATTCTGGTTTTGCAATACTAAATACAAGTGCTTCATTCCTTTGTTACAGAGGATTTTGCACCATATAAGGAGTAAAAAAAGAAGAAAATAACAATAACCACCAAAGCAATCCTCCATGTGATATCTCAACCCCCTTAAAGCGTAGTGTGGACATCATATAGAGACCGTGCCTGGAGCTCCAGTATTGCACTTTGGAGAGAGAAAGAGGGCAGAAAACTCTGCTGGTTTACTGCAGGTGCTGACCTTTTTCTTCTGAAAACTCCCTGGAGCCATTTCAGGACTTACTCACCTATATGTACCTAGTTGTCTGATCACTGGCCCAGAGCTATTTAGAGGTGAATTGTGTTTCTCATACAGATATCAAGTCAGCAAATAAGAGTGCTTGTCAGCTGAGTCATTTCTGCTAGTTTTGCATTAAGCACCATGGCTGGAGGGGATGTACGGCAGAATTTAGGCCAAGTAGGAGGGCAAAAGCTCCCTGCAATCAGGTCAAAAAGCAGGCAGAGTTCAAATGAGAGCATGCCATAGCTGCACGCAAGAGGATCTGGCTCTCCCCACAGCCTCGGAAGCCGGAGTATCTCCACTGGCATAAGGGTTACCTGAGGTGGCTCTCACACAACCTGATGGGATGCTCACAGGCGAGCACAGCACGACAGGGAGAGGACAGGCAAGCCAAACTATTCTCAGAACCACACCATACATCCCAAAATTGCAAGCTGCATCATGTGAACTGGAAATTTTATGCAGAAAACTGGAGGGAGGAAGAAAAAAGTACGAATATCAACATAAAGTGCATTAAAATAAACTGCACAGGACAGGGAGAGCAGAAAAGGTGGGCATTCAAAAGACCCTTTGGTCTCATTCCCAAACACATTTTCTTTTCTTCATTTGAAATGTGTAATCAAAAAATGGCTATGAAATCACTTCAAGGTCCGCTTCAGGGTCTTTGTCTGCTCAGAGGCCCACAGTCCTGATGCTGCAAAGAGGCCATACAAAGAGATCACAAAGTGTTCCCTCCAACAACCAGCTTAATTTTCCTACGTGTTTGATCGCAATCCTAAAATGAATAAACTTACCCCACCCTTTGAAAAAATTAGTAAACTACCGCTACAGACAGGCCCCACCTGAAAATAACAGTCCAGATCTGAAGTTCTCACCTCTCCAAAATTCAGATTCAGAGTTTTGTTCAGACACATTCTAGAGATACATGGAGTCAGTGATAAAGCTGCAGTGCTCGCTCTCCAAATATCCCTCTCCAAAGCTTGGGGGCAACTTGAGGTAAAAATCCAAGCTCATTTGAAAATTGCAGGGAGGTTACGAAGATTTCAAAGCCATGCAAAATCCAGCAGCAAGCACAGCCAAGCTACCACCCAGCAAAGCAGCCTTCAAAACATGCTGCATGTTCAAAGGGCTTGTAGGTTTTGTTCGCATTGGACATCTTCCTAACACTCTCCAGCGAGAGCGGGGAATGGCAGCACTGAATCACAACAGAAAAACACACACAAGGCAAGGTCCCTGCAGCCAAGTCCAGCCTGTAAATTTGGGCAGCTGACAGTACAGATGTCTTCCCGTTGCCCTGTTGCTAAGACTGGCTGTTCTGAAAAGACAGATTGAGACAGGTCAGTGGGCACACACAAAACACTGCTCAGACACCCAGAAATATATTGGGTCAACGAACTACATTAAGACATGGGGCTGAGTTACTGGTCACCATTTAAGAGATTAAATTGGTGCCATGTCAATAAACAAACAGCAAAGGAGGTGGCAGAAATCCTTTTCCCTTTCCATCTCTTCCCTTCACTGCTGCTTTTTCCTCTGCCTCATTTCTGAGCCTCGGCGCCAAGCCCCAAGGTTTTAAAGCAGCACAGCAGCAAGGATCGCTGGAGGGGATCAATGCTAGGATCAATTTTCTCTCGATACACACAATCTCCTGTTCCAAAGAGAACGGAGAGGCAGGGTGAAGGTAAGAGCTCTATGTCAGCAATCACGAACCCACATCTGCCCCCAGGGTGTAAAAGGCTGCAAAGTTTCCTGATAACGTCAGGCAGAGCCAAAGAAAACAAACAGTGTTGTGGTATTCCTGCCTGGGAGGTACAAATTCCCCATCACCTCCAAGCTTCCTGAGCCTCCATCAAAACGATTAGATTATAAAAACTGCTGAAACCAGAGCTTTTCAGGGAGGCCAGTCAAGAAGTCACAGCACGACAAAAAAGTAAGCAGGAGGTGTTGTAGGGGCAGGAGCCCTTCTTCCCGTGGTGGCTGTATATTGGCATGTATTAAACATAGACATAACAATAAGCAATAAATCACAGTCCAGGAGAGGTGCCACGTGGAACGCACTGGAGGAAATTAAAACATCCTTCTCGATGCAGTTCAGTATAGAAAGAAATACAAAGGAGGCCAAGTTGACTTATCACCTACATAGCCAGGATGCTAAGGGTGAAAAGGGTTCCAAGATTTGCAACTGAAAAACTTGCAGTTGAATAATTTACTACAAAAAAAAGCTTAGCTTAAAAATTAATAATAATATCACACACATTATTTTTAACAACTAAATAAATAATGACGTTCCTTAGCTTTTCTAAGTTTTCTTCTTTTTTTCCTCCTTTTTTTCAAACGCACAGCCCTTCCACAAGACTCAGCCATGGGGCAAAGGATCCATTACAATGTACACAAGTACACTAGCTGGCCAGCACCCGAATTCAACAAATTCTGACCTCCCACATCACCAAACGTATGCACCCACCATGCTGCCAGGAGACCCTATCTTGTGTACTTTGGTATAGTCCAGTGGCTGGCTTAAATTGCCTAAAAGTATCATGAAACTAGTCAATGGAGGCAGAGCTGGAGCCTCCATCCCTCAAAGAGCTGGACTGTTTCCTCATTTCACTGAAAAATGCCTCCAGAAAGTTTGTTTTAGGAAAAAACAGCATTGGTACACAGGCTTCCCAGTAATTTCAGTCAGGACTCAGTGCCATACAAAGCATAAAACTCAGGTTGCTGTGCACCAGCAGGCAAGGGAACCTCTTTAGAGCCAGGCTTCTGTTTTGCTGGGATAAGGTTATACTAGCAGCAGACTGTGCTGTGGCTCTCAGGTCCTAAATAGATGGTGCTCCTATGGGGTACCCCTACCCGTCTACCCTCCAGCCACTGCTGCTTTTTCCCTGCTTGTCCCTTTTTTAGGTGGTTGAGCAAACCTCCACCATTTGAGTTTTAATGGAAGTGTCATACAAAATACTTATGCAGACTGAAACTGGGACACGATCTATAAATTACCGAAAAGCTGAACTCAAGATTAGGAAAAGAAAGAAAAGGAAGAACTCATTTCTCTTGAAACTGGATCATAAATATATGTATACACACATAAATATTCTCAAACTGAAACTCTCCAAGACAGTCGGAAGAGGACAGCTGTTATGTTCTACCTTTTTAAATCTCTGCTTTTAAGGGCCAAGGACGAGATGGCATTTTCCAGCTGTGGTTCTCTTTCTTTTACTAAACACTTCTGTGTCAGTCTGTCTGTATAAGCAACTAAACCTCTACACATTAAACACTTCTGTGTCAAACGTGCAGTAATGACCAAGTTATATTTTCTGAAAGGGATAATTAAGAGGTTCAGTGGAAATAGAAAGAATTGGCATTTTTATATTCAGACAGACATGAATTTAGCACAAGCTGATAGATAAACTCTACTTGTTGAAAATAAAATGATGGTGACACTTTCTATATCAGTTTTTCTGGCAAGACAACAGGGACATCTTGCAGTAGGCCATGGAAGAGGGAATCTGTTTAGATGTTGCTAACAAAATCCTTCCTCTTGTCTAGCACAGAAGACATCAGTTTCAGACAAAACTCTCGTCAAGGAAAGCAAGGCAAAAGCAGAAGAGGAGGAAGAAAAGCCTTTTCAAGAGATGTAAACAAGCAATTACCCACAGCAGACCCCACTACACATTCAGGGAAATTATTTGAGCACATGTCTCAATCAGTTGATATCACACTCTCTCACCATTTGGATGCAAAAACCTTCTGCACACATTTCTGAGTGGAAAACTGCTCTAGAGCCAGAGCTGACAAAAAAGTCTTTTTTCCTACTCCCTTTGAAGGGTACAATCAAGGCATAGAATCTGTCCAGGTGTACAAGGTGTCACACATAGTTGAGATGAGCTATTGAGTTCCAAAAGCAATAACAAGTTGCCATGCAGCCCAGCCCTGCCTCATCAGACGTTTGAGAGGTGATCACTTGGATAAGCCTGGATAGGCTGGCTGCAACCCAAATTCAGAAACCTGCAGCCGTGCTGCCAATAAGAACCACCAGCAAAACACATGGAGTTAATAAAAGCAACACTGAAATGTCAAGTTTTTTGTGGGTTTTTTTTGTTTGTTTTTTTTTTTTTTTTAAAAGAGCAAATATTGTAAACCTTTCCTTGGTAAACATACAATTAATTTCTGATGAGGATTAATTAATATTTACCAAAAAAAAATACTGCTTATTCTCATTGTTCCTGTTATGAATGTATCTATCAGGAGATGCACCTTCAACAGTGTCTTTTGTCTTGTAGTGATGAGAAAAAGCCTTCTAAACCAAATCAGACTGGAATATGTTTCCCTGATGCTTTTCTTTTTAACTTGAAGTGGGACGTATCAGAGCTGTAAATTTGCTTACCCTTCTGTTCTGTACATGGAGCATCTCTCCAGAGGAATTTTTAGCACTCCATTATTTAAGCCCACAAAGAGTGACCTGTCGCTGTGCAGGATTTGGAGACTCTTGATTGCTTCCCGTTGTCCATCAGGGAGGATCTGCATCTCCTCTAAATAACAGCTCCTCAGGCTCCTGTTAGTGGTAGAAAGGGCCTTCAAGATGGTGCCATACTCTAATGGAACAAGAAACAAGGCACAAGTAAATCTTGGAGGCATTGACTTCATTCCATACCTGCCTAAAGAGTGAAATACTAATGTCATCTTTACAAAGCCACTTTAAACTTAGTTCTGGGTCATCTGCTGCCCGTGGTAGAGAGAGCTCCAACTACATAGTTACAGTCCTCAGTAGTTCTCAGACCTTACAGAAACTGTCTGTGAATGGTTTTTAATGGGAACTCGGAAGGATGTGAACCATCTGGAGAAGGAGTACCTGGAAATATTTCCTAGTTGGAGCACTGAGGCAGAAAAGAGTCTGTTCCTGTTACCAGTGAGTTATACAGCAAGGTGACCCAAGATAGCAGGGATCATTTCTGGTGCCTCCACTCTATATTTCTTTTGGTTTATGGAGCAGATCGGTGTGATTTGATGCTATGACAAATGACAACAGATGCAGCAGCCCTGCTGGAAACCTCAGAGGCCTCTGTAATGACTGCATGGGTCATGGATCTAATTGATCCTCTTTCTCGAAGAACCCATCCTGCCAGCTTGACAAGGGGATGTTGTGGCATGAGCAGTGCATACAAAGAAACATATATGTTTGTGTTCACAGTGCTCTTACCCAAACAATTTAAAGATCTGATAAACTGTGGGAGATCTATGCTGGCAAAAAGAGGGCAACCACACCATTTTTCATCAAAACTCTAAAGAGGTCTGTCAGCCCCGATTGTTTCTGAAGCTTAATCTTTCTATCTCGATAACTTTTGTATTGGTGCCAAAGCTCAGCAATTTACAGCGGTGGGGTTGGCTGCCAAGAGAAGCTTCTCTTTCGCTTAGGAGGGCCTTAAGTGTAGAACAAGACTGAGGCCTCAGTTTGGGCTTGGTTTGTCTCAGAGCTGGGTTTGTGTTCAGGGCTGCCTCTGGGCTGTCTCTAGTGAAGCATTTGGCTGGTTTAAATATTTTGGGTCCAGCAGAGTTTACTCTTCAGTCACCACTAACCAAGGCCAGAAAGCAAACACAAATAAGGAGGTAAGGTTATGGCAGTGGACCTTTCTACACAAATGATATGAGGCAGAAAGTATCCTGGCTTTCTCTCAAGCTTTGTAGCTGGGACTCCTCACTTAAAATATCAATATATCAAAACAGCAGAACCATGTGGTATTTCCATTTAAATAAAATCTCATCGTAATCAATGTCCATGGAGGCTCCTAGAGTGTGAATGTTACTAGAACACATCCAAGATGATCGCTTTTGAAGTACGTGGTGGTAAAAGTTAGATAAATTATGACACAGTCCTGGTGGCAACGTGAGAATGAGGCAATGACTCTGCATTCAGATGTGAGATTAAACTAACACTTAACAGAGGCAATCCATCTTATTCTAAAGTCAAAGCTTCTGCAATAGCGGATAACAACATTATACCCATGAGGCTGGCCATATGCTCTGATTAATCAAACTATTTAATTTAACCTCTATCATTAGTATGAATATGGGCTAAGACGACCATTTACAATGCTTTGTCCTTCTTCAGCATCTTTCATTTATCCAAGATATCTGTGCTTTTCAGAAGAGGCAATGTGTCCTGCTCATTAGAGGATGCCAGCAGAAATCAAGGGACTAAATCACATACTTAATTCCACCACTGGCTCGCCATGCTACCACAAAAAAGCACTTGCTCGACTTCCCCATCTGCACTACATTTCAGTGCACGCCCATTCCTGAAAGCACTGGGAGTCATACACCAGTAGGCAGACAGAAAAAAATAATTAAAACCTTGGGCAACCCTGGAGGTTAAGTATTATTATTACTTATTTAAAGATGAGTGTGTCATAGCCCAGAGAGGCAAGTTACGTGCACAAAGCCACAGAGCGTTTCAGCGACCTTTGCTCTTCCCCACTGTTATGTATTAGTCTGATTAGTTGAAACATGTTTTTATAAAAGGGAGAAAAAATGTTACTGTTATTTTTTTTAAACACAATGTAGATTTATGGTCTGCCTCAAGTCCTCCATCCTGCTTTTAATTTACTCAGGCAAACTAATTTCCATGCAGTTTTGTGGCAAAACGATATTGAATGACAACTGTGTAATGATGTCACGACCAGGCTTCTAGGGCTGCTAGGTCTACGAGCAAGTGGAGGGAATCTTAAGCCCCGATGCTCTTACCTGTCCCAATATACATCACGTGGTAGAGAGTATCCTTCCCCTGAACAATATCAACCACCAGTTTGGAAAATCGAATGTTGTCCTGAGTCACGTATGGATCTACAGTCACCGGCTGCACAACATCGTTCATCAGGAACAAGCGCTGCGCATCCTGCAGGACTCTCTCCGTCAGGTTCTCGTTAGGGCTGTCATCACTCAGCGTCCCACACTAAACATGGAAGATTGAACTTCAGCACCTGCATTTGCTCCCCACTCCAGCATCCCAACACCAAAACCTGAAATTATTTTGGAAACCCATGTCCTGTTCATTTCCTGCAGAGGTGGGTCTGTGCAGGAGTCAGGATCAGGCCTTTAGCCGAGCTTTGGCCTGTAGTCCACTCTTTAGAAATGTTTCTCCCAGCTGGTCCACTGACCAGTGATGTGGTCTTTCATTCCCTTGTGATACCCTGGAGCCATCACATCCAAAGTGCAAATGGCATTAACAAACTGAAGCCAAAAAGAAAGCAAGCTACCTGTAGAAAGATGCAAAGCTAGTAGTGGAAAGAAAATTTTTGTGGTAATCTTTGAAGCATTTTGAATCATCTTCAGACTCTACCTGACATCTCAGTCTGTACAATGGACAAAAACTGGAGGTTAAAAACACCTGAAAAACAGGTTAGTTTTGCATCAAAGAACCCAACTCACCATACTGCTTTTCTCTTATGTGCTCCCTTTTGAACAGACCCTTCCGGCTTCATCTTAAGCAAGGCAGGTTAGCCACTAGCTCCCCCCTCCTCACACACAGCTCTTCTATCTTCACAGTGAATGGTAGTTCAAACGGTGTCCATCCATCCTCCAGCACCAAGGGGGACACTGAGATAGGACTCAATGCCCTTGCCTATCCAGAACAGGGGGGTAGGAGAGAGCTCATCTTCTGTCTTTTAAACACCACCGTAAGTCCTACCAGATGGTAAGTCCTACCAGATGGACAATGCATTTTAAGGCCTAAGTTTCTATCTCACACTAATCTCCAGAATCTAGCATTTTCAAAAGTCAGTGCAAGATTATACTCTCCATGCAGTTTTGGGGTCCATGTTGGTAGCCAAGGCTGGATCTTCACTCTTACCCACAATGCTAGGCATGGTGGGCAGAAGATTTATTACTCCAAAAGACAGTTGGGTGACTGATCGTTTATTCTACCCAAGGCCATAGGAGTCGGTGGTACAACTGGAATTCCTGCCAACTCCCATATTCAATCCATGGACAACTTTGCTTCTCGCTAATGATAAAATCACAGAGTAGTTTGGATTGGAAGGGATCTTTAAAGGTCATCTAGTCCAATCCTCCTGCAATAAGCAGGGACATCTTCAATGAGATGCTCAGAGTCCTTCCTGTCCAATCTGACCTTGAATGTTTCCAGGGATGGGGCATATATCACCTTTCTGGACAACCTGTTCAGTGTTTCACCACTCTCATCACAAAAATTTTTTTCCTTATATTTAGTCTAAATCTACCCTCTTTTAATTTAAAACCATCACCCCTTGTCCTATCACTACAGGCCCTACTAAAAAGTCTGTTCTCATCTTTCTTATAAGCCCCCTTTAAGAATTGAAAGGCTGCAATAAGGTGTCACCAGAGCCTTCTCTTCTCCAGGCTGAACAACCCCAACTCTCTCGGCCTTTCCTCACAGGAGAGGTGTTCCATCCCTCTGATCATTTTTGTGGCCCTCCTTTGGACCCGCTCTAACAGATACATGTCTTTCCTGAGCTGAAGACTCCAGAGGTCGATGCAATACTCCAGGTGGGGTCTCACCAGAGTGGAGTAGAGGGACAGAATCATCCCCCTCGACCTGCTGGCCATGCTTCTTTTGATGCAGACCAGGATACGGTTGGCTTTCTGGACTGCATTCGCACATTGCTGGCTCATGTCCAGCTTTTCATCCACCAGTACCACCAAGTCCTTCTCCGCAGGGCTAATCTCAGTCCCCCAGCCTGTGTTGATACCAGGAGTTGCCTTGACCCATGTGCAGGACCTTGCACTTGGCCTTGTTGAACCTCATGAGGTTGATGTGGGCTCACTTCTCGAGCTTGTACAGGTCTCTCTGGATGATGTCCTGTCCCTCAGGCGTGTCAACCGTGCCACTCAGCTTGCTGTCATCTGCAGACTTGCTGAGGGTGCACTCAATCCCACTGTCTACATCATTGATGAAGATATTAAACAGTACAGGTCCTCATATGGACCCCTGAGGGACACCACTTGTCACTGATCTCCATCTGGACATCAAGCCATCGACCAATACCTCTAGATGTGAGCATCCAATTCCTCATCCGCCAAACAGTCCATTCATCAAATCCATATCTCTTCAATTTAGAGAGAAGGATGTTGTGGGGGACTGTGTCAAAGACCTTACAGAAGTCTAGATAGATGACATCACTAAGTGATGCTCACATCTGAATAATTTCACTAGAAAAAAAACACAAATTTGTTTTTCTTCATTTTGGGTCCAGGTGTTCGGGCTTTCCTTGGAAAAGAAGTTAGTATACTGTGAATTAAGAAGTTGATTTACAGCACTCCAGCTACAGTGTACAAATTTCCCATGTGCACACTCTCAATATGCATCAATTGCAGTGTGACTGCCTTTCCGAGGTGCACCATGCAGAGCTTCTCTTACAAAGTGCTAAAATGAGTTGACAGGAATTTAGCTCACATTTACACAACAAATACGGATCCTAACAGCTAGTGTACTAAGCCCTACAATATTTTGGAGCTTGTGTGAACTAAGGGAACAGGGTGATACCATTTCCCACCACCTATAAACATGGTCACTTTTTAATCAACTTTAACATCTTTCTGAGTAGCCAGACTAAGAAAACATCAGCCATTTTCTGATGTGTCCTCAGGTAGGTTTTAATATTTTTTCTATTGCAGTGGTCTTTTTAATTTCATGACTGCCTCTCAAGTTCTAAAGAGTTTTTAGATCTCTCTCTTCCGCTGTCTCCTATACTCCTAGCTTACACTACTGTCTTGTTTTGGATGCTCTTCTCCCCACTCCCTTTCCTTTCTAGAACATCACTGAAGGAGGAGTCCCAGTGGCAGGAATGTCATTGTTGGTTTTGTTTTCTGTTCTCATCAAGTCACAGATAATCCTTTTGGTCTATTGGCAGCCTGTGTGCTGACACAGCATCTCTCTGGTTTGCTTTTATTTTGTTTTGTTCAAATTTCCTGATTATCTGCACTGTCCTGATCCTCTATATCCTTCAGTATTTCTCCTTCCTCTCTGGAAGACAAAAACCACAATATCTGGCATTCTTCCCTCAGCTTCATTTGTGAACACTGAGACAAAAAAATTAATTAAATTTTTTTTTGCAGTATCTGCCTCTTCTGTCACTAAATTACCCTTGTCATCTCCTAAAGGCCCTTCACTGCCCTGTTGTTCCTCCTGTACTTGAAAAACATCTTAATCTCTTCTTGCAATCTTCCTTTTGTCTGCCACATACCTCCTTTTCCTTTCCTTATTTTCCTCCGACTCTTTTCTTTCATCTTGCCGCTGCAATCTTTGCACTCCACACTTTATCTGATACTTTTCACTACATGGAAATGCTTTCCCAAGTCCTTTTCTATTCCTCCTGGGTTAGCCCAGCAAGGGACAGAAAGTCCTTGATTCTCAGTTAACCTTAACATTCTCTTTAAACTCAAAAAAACCCCAAACCTCAAACAAAAAATCCTGGCCATGTTTGGTATGGCTAGGTCTTCCACAAAGCTTTGTTTCTTGGTTTTGAGTGCACCAAGCTGAGGAGGCAATCGAGAGCCCCATCTTGTCCCACCTTGTACATGCAGAAGCCCTCACTCAGGTACCATGAGGGAATTCAAGGAATACAGGTTCCTCGGCAGGAACGCAAGCATATCTCTGCCTACAGCGTGGGCCTGCCTCCCATCTGCTCTTGCTGTGATTTCAGGCGACTGCAGAGTCCTTTTTGGAAGTTCCTTGACATCACCAGCTTGAAGGCAGATGGCATTTGCAGGCAGCCTCTGCACTTTTGCCATAATAAAGGAGAGCCAGATTCACACATTCAGGCTGAAAGGATTCACCATGGGGAAGCGAGGACAGGAAGACAAGTCCATCCTCCCTAGGATTCCCCAGGTGGGAAAGGACTGAGCTGTAAAATGGGCTCATGCTTCAGAAGACTCAGGTTTGCTGGGGCTCTCACACACAGACTCTGCACTGCACTGACTGAATCTGGGCATAAAGTGGCTGAAGTTGTTCTGTAATTTTCAAATTGGCCTTAACTCAGAATCCTGGAAAACTGCTCATTCGTTAAAAAAAAGATAATTTTTTTTTAAATGAGAAGGAACCACAGTGACCATCCTCACATGTCCGCTTCCACCAGTTACTGCTGCAATGTGTCCATAACTTCTGCCTGAGTTACCATGTTGCAGAAAGTCATCCATCTTGCACTGAAACACTGGTAGTCTTAGGGGCCCTATCAAGTGATGGTGAATTCATCACATCCTTACACATACCCAGTGGTTAATTACCTTTCTTGTTTAAAAATACAGGTTGGCTCCATTCTAGTTTGACTTTGTTCACCTTCAGCTTTCCATCCTTCCCAGTTTTGATGGGGACATGTCTCTATGTCCCCTTGTGAGGATCACAGTCTCGGAGTTCATGTGTCAGTGATAAGCATAACAGAGATTTAAATTATTCATTATTATAATAAATCTGAACATCCTTATTATCGGTAAAGTCATTCAATTTTTGCCATGAATCTTGTGGTCTCAATAACACGTGGCAAGGAGTTCCACAGACTAAAACAATCATAATATCTGCACCGTGGATCTACCTGGAAAGATGAGCCCCACACAAATAAACCCATTGGAATGATAGAATGTAAAAGGGATTGGAGTAAACTGAAGAGCAGCAGCAGTACCTGGAAATTAGGGATGGGGTTTAACGTTGGCAGCCAGGCTGATCTTGGATTTTCTTGGTAACGGAAAGGACCATTAAATGCCTGAGTAATGGCACTCAGATTGAAGGCACACACTGCTGAGGCAGCTATGCTGTTTCTGGAGAAGATGAGGAAAAAAATCAATTTAATCATTAGAACATTGACATTTTCATCATAACAGACATCAAACTCAGCTCAAATAAAATACATGTAAATTGCTAGGAAGATGTTCAGTGATACCAGTCTCACAGGGAGTAAAAATAAAGAAATAATTTGTAAAATGCAGATGGCTTGCATGACAATTTTGAGAATGAATTTTAAGCTTGGTTTTAAAATGTACATGATTTAAGGGCCACAGAAGCAGTTCTGACAAGAAAAGTGAATACAGTTTAATTTGCATGGATTATTTGTGTCTGGTTTCATTTTTTATTTTTTTTTAACAATCCATCTATCTCTATTGATTACAACCAACCTAATTTTTAATCTCTTGGTGTTTTTCAAGGTGAAATTCTGTTTCCAGAGGCTCCCGAAATCTTCAGCTATAAAATACACCCCCTAATTTTATTTTTATATATATTTATATATAAAAAAATAAAATGCACACATGCACGCATGCACGCACACGCATGCAGGGGAAGGGAAAGGGTGACAGTGCAAACCAGGCTGGTTGTTACAGCAGCTCAGCACGCAGAAAGGTCTTGCTAATACGTGAAAGCCTCTGTTTTCAATGATCACAGTTCACTTCTTTGTGTTCCCAGCTGGGAATAGCATCTGTCTCGGGCAGGCTGGTCACCAGGCACGCACACGCCGTGGGAGGCACGGCTAGGGAAATGCCACTGTAGGAAGGACTCTTTGGAAGGGAATTTGTTTTAGGGCCCCTCCGCTGAGCAGTCAGACTCACACACAGATCAGTCGAACTTTGCTGTCCCATTTCAGTCACGGAGGACTCACTTCTGCAAGGTCCTGAGAAGCTCAGCTCCTTTTGCCTCAGGAGGGTTGGGGAGTGCTTCCCAGGTGGTGATGGCACCTCAGGGAAGCCAGCCCAAAGAGGGACCTTTGCTAAGTGGTAACCTGAAATTCAAACCTGCTCCCAGCTCTCTCCTTCCCCCTTTCTTGTTATTTTTTTTTTTTTTAAAAGGAAAAGAACAATGTTTACAGAAAAAGATATCAGAATAAAACTAAAAATAGGGCTAGCACAAGAGACTGACTCGTCACAGTGCCTTTTAAATAACCCAAGCACTGCTGTACGTATCTTTCTGCTAATTAAAGCAATTTGAATTCTCTGAAAAGAACACATTTTTTTTTTTTAACTAAACCAATAATTACACTCTATCGCACAAAGAAAAAAAAAAAGCCTTGCTCCACAATCCCAGGCAGAAAAGCAGAAGAACAGATTCTTTCACAGCATATTTCTTGCAAGCAATACAACGTCAGGAAGAACTTCTTGCTTTGCCTTCCCATTCTCTGCTCCTGCCCCTGCCTCTTCCATCCCCAAAGTGATGGAGTGGCTCACTTTGAACATGTCAAAGCAGCGCCAGGCGAACCTTTCTCCACTTTTGTCTGAACACTGCTGACGCAGTGCATACTCACAGACGGCAGCTCTTAAGACAAAGCTAATGATGGATGACAAGTAAATGCCTTGAGGCACACATGGGAAAAAAAAAGGGAATGAGAAAGAAAATGAAAAAGGAAAAGAAAGAATAAAACTCCACTAGTCTAACAAAACCACTTCTTTTTTTTTTTTTTAAGAAAAGAAAGGATATTTTTAGGGCCCTGCTAAGGACTCCACAGTTTAGCCCTTTCCTTTGCTAGAGAGGAGAAAGGAAAGAGGTTTTCGATGAATCTGTGGCCCGTTTTCCTTTCCATCTGTGGCCTGGCATACTTCCCATCCCTCCCTAGGAAAAGTTTGATCCCAGTTTCAAGCCAGTGACAACAACTTGTGCAGCTGGCCCCTGCTTTGTCCTGGTGTGAAGTGCAACCTCCTTTATTCCCACCTCTTACTTCCTGTGATTAACTAGGTGGTTTGGAGAATGGGTTAAGTTCAAGGAGGTTTTAATATTGTCTCTATTACCTCCCAGAAAAATTTTAATAAAAACTTCTTAAATATTTCATCAGCAGCTTCCCCAAAAAGCTTTCCCACTGATTCAGCTGAGTATAACATAACATGAAGCAGTAAGTCTGTATGTAGGTGTTACCACAACCACTAATACCCCTTTGTTATAAGATGATCCTAAATGCATTAAACATGATCCTTCCAAAACAAAAATAGCTTTAAATGAAAAAAACCCCAACATTGTTTTGTGGTGCATCAGTATTCTATTATAAAAAAAATAAGACTGGAGCACACATCAACCCTCTTTGGTATGCAGAGCTCATGCAGCATGATATAAGTCCCAGTGGAAGTTAAAAGAATAATTACCATTATTTCTCTAGTCAGATGACAAATTGGAACATTTTCTCTTTGAACTCTCAAAAGAACATCATGTTGTAAACCCAAAATACTACTTGATCTAACTTCAGCTATTATCAATAATCCATTTCTTCAATTACAAAAATGTTACATATTATATTGTCCTCTGAAGATACAAGAGAGGATGTACACTCATAACGTACGAAGAGTGACTTCATTGTAACCCAGAGGAGATGGGTAACACTCGTCATGTCTCACGTTAAACCTGGGAGACAGAAACAGCAGACAAGAACTCTTCCCACTGGAAGTAGCTTACATCTCCCTCCTCACATTCAAAAAACGATACCAATTTGATAAATATAATACAATTATGAATAATTTTTACATTTACAACTTCTGTTCTTGGCTGGACGACTGGAGAAATGGATAGATAAAACATTATCACTATAGGCATACAAGTCCTCTCTGACTGAAAAAAAAAAAAAAAAAAAAAGAGAAAAAAAAAGTGTCATCTCAAATGCCCAAAGCAGTAGCCAGATTTCCTTTTAATTTTCAGGAAGTTTGGCTACCATACTCTAAATGTTTTTACAAAACAACTCATGCTCCTTTCAATCCTAGGACAGATTTTCCTCAAAGTCCACAGTGAAAGTGCAGTGCTCAATCACGTTTACTATTTCTAGTTGCTTCTCCACTGGCTCACTTTTGGCTGACGTTGGCAATGGTAGCGCAGAAACAAAACATGGAAGATGGATGAGGGCGGCCAAACACTTACCTACTTCTTGGCATTTACGGAGTGGGGATAACATTTGGGTTCTGTTGCCTCTCATAATGAAACTCCCAACAGTGCTTTAGCTCAAGAAGTTGGGGCTGATGCTTTGTGACTTCAACGGCTGAAGTTCAAGCCCTGTTCAAGTTCACTCCAACAAGTGACACATTAAAACAGGAAGGCCTGTACTTCAGCGGGGCTTCACTTCTTTGGTTTGCTGTGGGCTTCTTGGGAACAGAGCCCTATTCATATTGAACAGTACTCCATTGCACACAAAAACCTCAAAGAAGTTGGCTACCCAGCACGAGGAAGGCACTTTGAGTGTTTGTCGTGTGGAGTAACTAACTCAGATTTTCATTCTCTAGTTTACACATCAGGATAACACCCCCCTGGAGAACATGTATTATTGAAACTCAATACCATGCAGACTGGTTATAGCTTGAAACTTATCATCCTAGCCTGGGGCTTCAGGGAAAAAGTTATTTGAGTTTTCCTGACTTAAAAATATACATTATGAGTTTTTTAATATATTTTTTAATTAACTCCTCTTCTCCTTTCTGCTTTCACAGCTATACTAAATCATTCCAATTACAAGTTTTTTCAATATCAAGCCAAGAAGAGGTGATTACGAAGTTTCAGAAATCATGCCTTTCCCTCAGAGTTCCAACTCTGCTTTTGATTTGTGGACCTGAAACAGCCTGTAGTGGAGGTAGAGTCCCCCTTGGAAACGTCAAATGCCATGTAGCCCGCATGGCCTTGCTTCTATAAAGTGTTGTTCAGCAGCAATTTATGTTGATTTTGGTCTAGGCTTTTGGGATTCCATCTGCCTCATTCTTCTCCTTTCAGTCCTTCTCTCCCAAATGTACCTGTCCAGCTTATGGGCCGGTCCCAATGTTCACACAATTGTGTCAGATTGCAGTTAGTCTGGCTGAAAATTAATCACGTTTTTCTGTTGGGTCATTTTTAGACCAGCTCTCTGAACTACACAAGTAGCATTGCCACTACAAAAAGTCGGAAGTCTGTCACAGCCGAGGTTTATATCAAATTAAGTTACCCTCGAATTGCACAGTCACCTTTTATGGACTCTGGGAATCTATGAACCATGGATTAAAAACACTGCGCTAAAGGCAATGTTGCCATGATGGATAACACAGACCTATCTATTCCTTTACCTTAACCAAAGGATCTTTCAAAAATGATTGCTCAGACTGTCTAAGAAATCAGAATATTGTCAGTTTCAGGCTGCTGGGGATAGAAGAAGGGCAGTAAAACCAGTGCAACTTACACATTAGTAGTGAAGACTCCATAGATTAGATCTTGCTCAGGAAGATAGAAGGTGCTTTGCAATTCATTATAATAGAAAGGGATTTCGCCAGCACGGGAGCAGTTCAGCCTGGCCTTCATGAAAGTTGTCCATGTGTCCTCCAGCAAAAATCTCCCTCCGATATCATTTTTGCAAACCCTTGCCACACGAGAATACACTGTTTTCCCACAGTCATGTTCTACCGCATTCTCACGGAAGAAGAAATAGGTGAACAAACCAATGTCGTAGGCAGCAATAAAGTTAGGCTCTGAAAAACAAACATTTTTACAGGTCAGAAATCAATCTGCACTCACTGACTTGCTCAATGCATTGTGCTGCCAGCTCCCTTTATGCAGGCTGTCAAAGCTGGGACCACAGGGAGTTTGGAGTCAGCAGAGGACATAAAAACAGTAGATGGGAATAATGATATATGGGGAAACAGCTCTAGTTCCATTTTTCTGATCTTGGAAAGACCTCATTGTTTCCCCACTTTATTGATAAAGCTGCTACTGATTTCAGTGAAAGTAGAGTTCAACACTTTACATATGCATGACTATTCTCTGTACCTATAGTCACTTTACAACGTAAAGCCTTCCCATTGGGTTCCTTCACCTATTCACTTCTGAAGTGCACGTTATGATGTGTTAAATATGCTGCATGCATCCGCCCGATTCCCCAGACTGCTGCGCTGAAACATTCAACCTACTCTCCCAGTAAAATCACATCTGGCTTTTATCACGAAGCCTTTCCAGTTTTTAGGCACAAAAGATTATCTTATGTCCATAAAACAAAACCATGCCACAGACTAACAGTATTGAAGCAAGTTCTCCTTAATTCTTTTTCTCCTAGAGTTATTGTTATTATTTTCACAAGAATTGAAAAGAACCTGGAATTGGTTTTGTAGTAAATAATTTAATTGGGTATTTAACAAAGCTTTAAAGTGTACTGTCTTTTATCCCAACAGTTTCTCTGTCAAAGGGAAAGACTGGCCAATTAATAATATTTGACTAAACAAAAAAACCCATTGGTTTTACACGGTGCTTTTACAATGTTCATTTGAGTAATGCTCAAAGGAAAAAGGAAGTACAGAATTCCTTTAATGCTGCAGCCCAGGAGTGAAAGAAGAACAGAGTCATGGCAAAGGGAGAGGAAGGCAGGCTGATGCTGCTGCAGGGCAGGTTTGGGAGGCAGATGATGCTACAGAGGGGAAGGCACTGCAAAGCATCTCCCATCAAACCTTCTCCTGTGAACTTTTAAGGGACCGTTGTGATCACCAGTCTGACCTTCTGTCTAACACGAAGCAGAGAATTTCACCCTGTAATTCCACCATCAGATCCTGTAACTAACAGGTGAATTAGACCACATCTTTCGAAGGAGATCTGATCTTACTGGACAATGTCACAGGGCTTTATATCCATCCCTTTCCTCAGTGACTTGTTCAAATGACTGAAGACTGCCCCAGCTGCAACCTGTAGTTCTTTTTCCATTTGACATTATCTGGTTTCAGCTTCCAATCACAGGTTCTTGTCATGACTTGTCTGCTAGATTAAAGAACTTCATTCTGCCAGAAATCTTCTCTTGATATAAGTACTTTCATATCATGAACAAAACACTTTTTATCTCCTTTTCAGAAAGATAAATAAATTGAGCTTCTTGAGTCTCTCACTGTGAGGCAGGCTTTCCAAGCTTCAAATCACTCCACGGCTCTTCTCTGAATCATCTTCAAGTTTTCTGTTTCTTGGTGAAAAGTGGACAGAACAGGATGAAATTACTTCAATGTCACCAACACTGTGCAAGGTTATAAATCCAAGAGTCATATTAGTTTTTCCAGTCACAGACTAGAAACTCAATTTCTGTTTGTCTTTCCTTAAACCTCCCTGTTCCACTGTGACTTCCTTCTGAATTCTTCATTCATGTGCAGACAAGAGGCACATATTTCTGATCAGTGTATATGGGTTATGCTGCTTCTTGGTCCCAATTCACAGTCTTGCCTGATGACATCCTTCTCCTAAAACTCTGGATCTCTGCACTGATTCAGTATGCCTGCAGAAGCCTAGTTCAGTCTCATAAGCTCCAGAGAGTGCACAGTCCCACTGCTTGTATCTATGAAAGGTCCTGAAATCCAATGGAAAGATTCTGAATATCTTGTCAACTTACCTGAGTCAAAGGAGAGAGGGAGAATATTGGGGTCTCCATCACTACAGTCTGCTCAGATAAGATATGCTTTGTCCCAGTCAGAAGGTGTGGACTCGGTGCAGGAATTACTGGTTGAAATTCTATAGCTTGCTTGATGCAGGGTACTATCACACTGGGGTAACAGCTGCTTTTAATAACTATAAATCTGCAACAGCATGGGTTTACATGGAATATAACTTGCTGTGAAATTTCTCAATTTCAGACTTGATCTTGCACTGAAACCAACCATCTTCAGCTGAGTCAGTGGAAGTAGAGGGTGCTTAACACTGTGCAGAATGGGGTCAACAATATGATGCTTTAAGTTCATTTTGATCTTCAAATCTTTTGAGTGGTTTTCTTGTTAAAGGGATGCATTTGGTCATCTCACAAATGAGAGACCCATATATGTATATATGTTAAGTAGCCTGTAAGACCCACTTTCCGTATTATAAATTAACTTCTCTGAAATACTTCCAGGCTATTTTTAAACATCTTCTAAGCTGCATCAATTATTGCACCGGAAGCCCTTCCCCAACTCTGGATCCCAACACGAAAACAGAGGAAAAGATTTACAAGCCTGCCAAGTGGACTTTAATACACCTCTTGCTCAGAAATGACCCACATGACTTTACCATTGAGCCATTTGGAGTTGTATTGTGCTGTCCTAAGTGGGGGAACATTTCCAAGGCTGCGGTAAATAGCAGGATCCCGTCCAGAGAAATCAATTACAGTTGCAGCATAGAGTTCTCCTCGTGATGTAATCACAGCTGTTGAGTTATGCCGGGGGTCGTACGGGCACCGAGCCACTCCATTAATTCTGTCAATGATTTTGCTAAGATTTCCTACCTGTATTTAAAAGGAGAGAGGAGAGAATTTAAAGAACATCTGGTTTTCTTACTGGTACAGAGAATTCAGTTTGCACATGACTACCCATGAGTAAAACCCTGATTTTAAAAGCACAGGCAGCTATAAGAAAGTAATGCCAGCGATGACTGTAAATTGATCTTTACATCCATCGTTCGCCAATGTAAGAAGTTGTGTCTGAGCCTCACTGATCCTATTGCTTTGTAAGAAGGGTAATTCCCCTGCCAATAAAGCCTGCAGGCCTCAACCCACTTGGTGTAATCAGGTGCTCCTGCTGCTAGCACAGGTTTCTAATCTTCCATAGGCAGCTCTTAAATGTATGCTGGCATTAAAAAATATAAAAATAAACATTGCTCTGGACCTGCTCCTGCCTCCCTTGAATCCAAAGGGAGTTTTGCCATTTATTATAAGGAAACACTCAAGTATTCAGCTCAGGAGGTGCTCACAGCTAAGCCTGTTTATATTCCCCATTTACAGAAGTGCATCAAGGCTTACATGAGCAGCACTTTTTCCAGATCCAGCTCACCCATAACACGAGCCTTTTGCTCCCCACCTGCAGGTACATCCACTGCCCCAAAGCAGCCCAAAGGGGCCCGAAGAGCAAACCCAAAACTATTCCAGATCAGCTACATTTGGAACATATTCTCTGCAGCCATGTTGCCCTGCTAGATGACTGGCCTTCCCCAGAGCACATATCCAGCCCTCTCCATCACTGCAAAAGAGGTAAAACAGACCTGTCGACTGGAACACACTGGCGAAAAGGCATTGGTACCACAGGTAAACACCTTCTTGCCATAAACAATCAGCACACGGACATAGTTCTGGCACTCCTCCTATAGGGACACAAGATAGAAACAAAGGATTTTTGAAAAGGAGACTGTGAAGTTACTTATTGCATTCAAAAAAATTACCCATATTGCAGCTGGAATACACCTTCCTTAGCTCTAACTCAGACTGGGGTTCGTTGCACCAAGCAGTGCACAGCTGTAGGGAGCCAGTGGTCTAAGTGAGCAAGCCCAATTTGCTGGTTATTTCTTTATCACAGCCCTGCAGACTCTCTGGATAGGATGTTATCCATCAGGTTGACTCTGTCTTAGCTACACAAATGCCTCTTTCTGTGCTCTGCTTAGATTGGAGGAGGAATCCTCCACCTTTTCATGATGATACTTCTGACCTATTTTACCCAGTAATGGTGTGGCTTAGAAAACGTTACCCGACACAAACTCCACTGAAGGCCAGTGGGTCTGTCTGCACTATAATTCACACCAGTGCCAGCAGGAAAATAGCAGAAACTTCTCTTTAATAGGCCAGACTGGTCAGGATAATCTTGAACAGATCGTTACTTCCTGCCTCTCACAAGGATCCTGTACTCAGGATTTTCCATGGTAGAAGGAGTTTCTTTTTCAGGCCAGGCCAGTGAGAAAGAGCAAATCTCCTCTTCTCAACTGCGCGACCATTTGCTGGTACAAATAGGCAACTCCCTCCACATGCCACTTCCCAAAGGTGTGGGGCTCCAGTTGTCCCACGCTGGGGTAGGGGTGGCAGCACAAGGCTGCACTTGGCTTCCTCCCCGCCCTGAAAACCTCCTTCATGCTGCTGGAGAGAGCCACAGTCTGTCTTTTTCCCCACAGCCTCGTGCTCAGAGACCTGTGGACTGCAGATCAGGCCACCTGAGCATCTTCGGGGAGTTAAGCCATTGAGGAGGAAGAGGCCACATAAGGCAAGGACTTCCTAACATGACAGGGAATAGGAGGTGTGAGACTGGTGTGGAGCTCCCACAGGCCATGCCAGATGCTCAAGACTCGCCTGCCCCAAGCTTCATTCGAGCAGCCCTGATGAGGGATGCACCGTGAGCCCAGCACCTGCCTGCCCTGGGCTCTGGGGCCACCTCAGAGGAAAGGGTATGAGCAACGGCTAATGACTGGCACCCACAGGGCTCCAAGAGAGGAAAGTCTATCATATTCTGCTGTAAACAGAAAAGGAAACTTGTTAAAAACTAACAGCCTTGGCTGGGTTATCCCGGCTGCTTTGCTTTCCTCCCTCCAATAGATCATAATTTGCCACTAAGCTGAGCCTACAGCTGCAGACACCGCTTCTCCTTCTGTAAGCAGCAATCACTCCGTGAGCTTCCCTGTCTCACAGTGCTCCACGCTGTTGATCATTTCCCTGAAGGCTTCATTTGCAAGATTCAGCACTGTAAAGACACTCCCTATCATCTGGAAAGGAAGAGCCTTGCTTAGCTGGATTATGTGCTATCTCCTTTCATTTGCTGTATGGAAATCAACTCGCTGAAGGATGGCACTTAGCGAAACCCCACCAGCGTCAGCCACAGACAAGCGACTGCATGGACATGACACGTGAGACTTGCTTTTGAATGGAGAAGATCGCAGGGTCTGCACTCCTGAGCCAGCCCAGGAGCACTCACCCAGACCAGGCAGAGGCTACAGAGTGCCACGGAGCAGGTGCTGCCAGTCTTGAGTCTCAGCGATCAGATACATAATGCCTGGCACCCAAAAATGAGAGCTTGAATTCATAGCTGGGTCGATTCAGCACTTCATAGTTCAGAAGCAGATCAGTCATGGTGACTGGGCGTCAGCCTATCAAACAGGACCTTGAGAAGCACTGTTCCACCCGCTGTGTGTTGAGAATAGAGGTCTCATTGCTTTGTTTAACAAGACGAAGGGCTTGCCAGCCTCTCCACCCTCTCCTGTCATTGCTACGTGCTGTTGTGAGCTCTGTTAGTTATTCCCGGCCCTAGAGACGTCTGCATTTCATGAGTGGGTTAATTAAGTCCTCTTTCTGTAGAGCACAGTTATTTGATCCCACCTAATATTAGGACCGTTATATGTTCACCTGCAAAGTATTAGAAATTCTTGAGGGGACGGTATAAAAAAAAGGTATGGGCTCCTCTCCCAACAGGGTTTTTTGTATGATTGATTTGGCATCTAACCCAGAATGCAGCTCTGTACCCAAAGTTCACACAACAAGACAGTACTCATCTGCTCCCCTTCCACTTCCACCTTTCTCTGCTTTGTGCAGAGTCTGAACATAGCTTCTGACCTAAACCAGTTAATACCATTCTTGTTGCTGGACACTTTCCTGCCTAGATATTTCAATATATTCCTATCTAAAATCCTAATTTGCAGATTTGCACAGAGCTGTATTACAGATTAACAAACTTTAATTTCTGTAAAAATCTCCCCAGCTGAGAAGATAGCAGACAAAAAAAAATTATCTGTGAGGTCATGTGCTGGATGGTCTTCTGGAGTCTACTGGCAGTGATGCATCTGTTGCACCCTTTACTCCAAGGCACAGTAGCCTGGGTTGGTAAGAATGCTGGAAGCTGGTAAAATATTGTGTTATTTGAGCCTAATTAAGCATGGTTTTATTTGTACCCATTCAGTCCAAAGCACAAGTTATTTATTGAAACAGAGGGCAAACCATACTGAGTAAATATATCTCCTACTGTCCAAACCTGCACCGGAATATTTAATCTGTGACTTCCAGCCCATTCCCAACTGCTCCAGCAAAGAGTAAAAGAGCACAGCCCGTATGGATGAGGTGTTAGACTGGAAACGTTTGAGAGTTGACACTTTTCAGGGAACCGGATGCACCAAAGCCCACTAATTATTTCATTGGCTGTAAGAGGCAGAAATTGGGGTGACTAGTAGATGCTTTCTATCCTGCTTACATATCGATGCCTCTAGGCATGGGCCATATCCAACCATAGTTATTCCTATGAATTAGCTGAGTAGGCGTTTTCCCTGGACCTGCCTTACTGATGGTGGTAACAGCACTCCATGCTTCTGGAGGAAGAGCAATAATAACATGTACATTTTATCCAGTGGTCTCAAAGCAATTTATACAGCTTTAAGTAATGTTCTGAAACAGATGTGCATTATCTGCCCTGTTCTCTCAGCTGGGTGAATCGAAACACACAGGTGCTAAAGGATTTGCCATGGTGACACACTGAATCAGAGGAGATCCTGAAGGACAGCAGCAAAGATCTAACTACCAGACCTCACCTCTCTAGCCTGTCTGGCCCAAAGAGGAATACTGTGCTCATCCGGCATTTCTTACTGCTGTATCCACTATCAGTCATGTCACTCTGTGAAAACCTCCAACAAAAGCAAAGAAGAAACTGAACCACTTAATGCTCCAGCTTGTAGGGTTTTTCTCAAGACACTGTTAGTGAGATTTACATCAGATCCTCTTTCTACCCTATTCTCAAAACCATTAGCAAGGAAAAGCCTCCTCTCTGTGTTCTTTAAACCAGCCTGGATTTGCTATGAAAAGTCATTCAACACGCTGCAACAATTCATAGCTGAGGCAACTGGTGGTTAGTAAGATGACCTCACAAACCCCTTCAGAAAATAGGAGCTATTTAATGCAGATTCTTCCATGTGGCTGGAAAACTCTAGGCATGCAGGAGGCAAAATTCAGACAGGATTTAATATAGCCAGAAAATCTGGCAAGCTTGAACCCAGCTCTGTCCAGACAAGACAATATTTGGATCCTGCTCTCACATTTTGGAGCAGACAGTTAAATCTGTATGATCAGTCTGTGAATCTCATCACCAGAAGATATTATTGGGATCAAGAGATTAAGGATTTAAATAAAGGGGGAAGACTGGGTATTTATATGGTTAATGAGAATAACCTAGTTATATTAGTTGGGATTATTATTAAATATATGACAGAGCTGATAAATACCTGTGGCTCATTGCCAGAGCACTAAGCATCTCTCTGATTTTCCTATGAGTTGCATGTTACACACTTCGGAGTTCTTGCTCCTTCCTCAGAATTACCTAGTACTGGCCCCTTTTTTGAGAGAAGGCCTTAAATTGAGCAAATACCACTTTTCTCCAGTTTAACGACCCTTGCTTTCCTGGAAAGGAAGAATACATGACTTCCAGTGTTCAACCCTAGAGGGCACAGGGTCTCACAATCACTAAGAAAATGAACTTCACTGAGGCTTCTCCCTCCCACTCCCTTGCAATTTAAGCCTATCCTCATTTATTGCAGTTTTTGCAACATTTAGATTTAAATGAGTCTGTAACGTGAGTGCTGTAACGTCCGCAACTGTAGACAGGACCAGGCCTCTTTGTAGCTCATACAGATGTCAGGCTGCTTTGAAAGCACATTTCAAACCCGAGAACCAAGAGTGGTGCCCTGTTACTCCCTTCATTCATGTGGACAGATCAGCAAATGGAGGGGTTGAACTCCCGCTGGCTTCGGTTTGAGGTAAAATTCAAAAAGACATTTTTAGGATGCTGTGAATAAGCCAGCTGTAGGTGCTTCTTGAGTTGTTTCATCTGTCATCTCTGAACACTGGAGCTCTGAAATGTCATAAGCCCTTAATCTCATTGTACAGATGTATTTTTCTTTGAAAGCATAACCATATATAGGCACTACTTTAATTGCCTTTTTACTTTGAATAAACTACTGAAGTCCTGTTTTCAGAGATCTATTAAATTCTTTTTTTTTTAGGCTAACACTATTTCATCACATACTGATTAGACCATAGATTAGAAACAGAGTTACATGTTATATGAGAAAAATAGCTGTTTCAGATGGTTTGTTATCCTCAGCAAAGAAACACAAACTCCTGGACCACAACATGGAGTTCAGAGATCAGCTGGCAGAACTGCACATTACCCCTTCAGCAACACTTCAGAGTGCAGCAAACATTTAATTTATCTGATGCAGTTCATCCCAATTTGTTAAAAAATAATCAAGATCTAACATGTTCTTGAACACTGTTATTAACACGCTTTCAGATATCTGTATTTATTTCTTTGGACAAACAATTCTATTAATCAGTTTAAGCCAATATCCCGACCAAGCTGTCTTTCTCTTTTGAGTGTAATAGATAGCAAAGAGAATTGCTAATGATTTTTCCAGCCAAGTTTTCTTTAATGGACTTCAAATCAAATTTGGGGGCTGATTCTACATTGATAGCTTAGCTGAAATACTAAGAATGTAGGTTCAGATCTCTAGGAAAAGTTATAAAGAGGGAAAAAATATCTGACTGTCTCTCAGTTATTTCCATTTGCTTGGGGATGTATATGGTGCCTGTCCTATCTGGATGCCTATATTCATAAGTGGCATGGAGATTCCCAGCTCCACTAGGTAACCAAAGGGCAAATCTGTGTGACTCAGAGCCACTTGCAGGCCTGAAACAGCAAATTCCTCCATTAGCTCCAGATCCATTTAGGTAGGCTCTAACCTTGGGCTAGGGTTTCCCTGTAACCTTGTTTGAATCATAAGACCCTCCAGTACCAGGACATCACACAAGAAAAGGAAGAAATTATACTGGCAATATGGTGGGACAACTGGTAGCTGGATGCCTATCAGATGTTTCTCTTGGTTCTTTCTTCCTCCAGAAGTTTTATTAGTGAATTATCTTCCTCCTGGCTACACAAAGCTCTTAGGAGAAGCACGTAAGAGCTGGATCACTGTCATTTTCAGAAACGGTTCACTTCCACTTTTTGAAATGACAGTGTGCTGCTTTTGGGAAGTTAACAAATAAATCGGCACTGAGACAAGAGAAAGACCAGAGTGCTCTTATTTAGAAAGCCACAACTTTCCATGCCAGGCAAAACTCCTCAGATGTGGTGGATGTGGACCGTTATGAAGAGACAAACCAATTACAAACTAGAAGCTGAGCAACTCCTAATGAAATTAAATACACCTCTTCCCCTTCTGCTCTATCCATCACTCATTTTAACTACAGCCTCTGGTGATATGACTTGGAAGACGGAAAAGCAGGATAACGCTGACTTTGTTCTCTGCATTGTCTCTCAGTAATGTGGATGTTTTCCAGGGGACAGTTTTAAGGTACTGATCAGGATACATTGTATAAATGCTGCAAAAATAAGAATAATTACTAGTGGAAGCCCACATGGATCTCCAGAGATATGGCAAATAAAGCACATACAATTCTTTCAGGAAACCACAAGTTTTGGTTGATAAATATGACATAAATTAAAAAGACTTTTCTGAGGTGTTTGTTTAAATACCACATCATGTATTGTGGACAGATAATTTTAAAATCAGGTTCAAGAACATATACATTAATGGATTAAAATCTGATAAACTAGTGGACCCAAAAAAATCCTCAGAGTGAAATCATTCACATACTTGCTACTCTAGCAGGGTCCCAGATGGGGTGGTACTAGCCCAGTATCCACATTTTTCTTAATGAACGTTTGTGGACAACCCAAATATTATGAAAACAGTAATTACCAGCGAGGCCAAGGCCTTGTTATATATACATTGGTATATACTAGGCTGGTGAGCTGGACCCAACAAACAAAATACATTTTTGTAAGAAAGATATGCATTAAAGAGCAAGGAACAAAAGGGTTCTATGTATAGACTGAGAGATTACATCCCGAGACTAGCAACTGTGAAAAGGATTTAGTGGTCACAGTGGCTGGGCGATTCTGCATGATCTCCTATGACAGAAGAGCTTATGAAACTGCCAGGTATATGAACACAGGAGGGTGAATAAGAAGTGGAAGACTGTTTTAATCACACTCAGGCATCAGAGAGATTGACAAGGGAATACAGGTGAAAAATTGGAGTGTGCAGAAAACAGACACAAAAAATATTCAGGGGCAGTAGAAAAATGACTTAGAGAAAGAGGCTTGGAGAACTCAGCTTTTTACTTTATCAAAAAGCCTAAGTACCGATTTGACAAGAGTATGTAAGTGCCTTTGTAAAAAATAAATATTGGTAACTAAAGAGCTCTTTAATCTAGCAGAGAAGGGCAAAATGAGACCCAGCCATTCAAAACTGAAGTCAGATCCAAAGAGGAAATAAAGTACATGTTGTTAACAGGAAAAGCGATCTGCCATTAGCACAAGCCAGCAAAGCACACAGTCAGCCCATTTGCTTCAGGCCATCAGTTCAAAACTTTGAGCCTTCCTTGAAAAGATGCAGCAGCCAAACACAAGTTACTGAGCTCAATTTAGGAAAAAGCAGGCGAAATCTGTGGCCAGAGCTATGCAGGGCGTCAGAACAAATTACCTAATGGTACCTTCTAACCTCAAATCTGGGACCCGTATTTCTCATCTCCTTTTTCTCTGGCCAATAGGTACTCAAATGTGGAGTAACCATCATGCCATAATAATAATACTTCTCTGATACACGTTTTTGTGGCTTTTATTCTTGCACTTTTTATTTTCCTTATGGTAAAGCTGTAAGAATTTTAGAAGATATTTTCTAAGCAGCAGGAAGAATCTGATTTAAGATATTCAACAGGCGTAAGAATGAAGAAGGGAAAAGCATTTTAATACACTAGGTGGCTTTGAAAACCTCACCCTAAAATACCTACGTTATTAAATCAGCAAGGAAAATGGACCAGTCATATAACTTACGCCAACTACACTGTGAGTTAATATAGGAGCCAAAGGTCCTCCTTATTTCTAGCCTCTATCACCACATATCTAAGTGCCTGACAATCCATAACATATTTATCATCAAATCATCTGTGCTAGGTAGAAAACTGCCATTAGTCAAGCTTTGACAAAGCAGAGCTGAGGCAGACAGAGCTCTGGATCTTGTACCACCAGTGCCCAGTAGAATTCCAAATATCCACATTAGTGCTGTCCTCGCTTCCTGCATTTACCCAGTCAAGGGCAGAGATCCTGGCTCAGATCCAGGTTTCTTAGCTGGAATAGAGCACTTCACCACCTGGCTAGGATAAACTCAGTATTTTTGGAGGTTGTGCTGTCATTTCTCTGCAGTGTAACAAACAACAAATGTGTAGATTCCCCCCCAAACAGGGACTCAGCCACAGACACCCAGGTTAGAGTAGATACAGACTTGGGAGATCTGAGTTTACTCAGCTACTGCAGAATCCTTCTGCCTTTGTTTGTAGTTTCATGTCTTCTTGTCAGGCTCTTAGTCAACACCTTTGTTTGCCATTAATTGTATGTCAAGAAGTATCTAACAATCTGCTTAATTATTGTGCCTCAGAACTTCACACCTATGGCCACTGTGCCCATCAAACAATTTCAAGCTTTCGATCGCTATTGGCATAAACTCAGCTGTTCAGAGCATTATTCTCATGAAATTTTGGGCAAACTCTGCAGTGTGAGGAGGCAGCAGTAGTGAAGATACTCAGATCATCACTTTCTTTTGGCATGACAGTAAAAAAGATAAATTGAAATGATCATAGAATTTGTTCAGTCCAATGCATGATTTTAGCCAGGAGTTGACAAAATAATTCTGGGTTATAAATTTAAATTCTTCATCAACAATGGGAGACAATTTAAATCTCACAAACTTTACAACGGAAGAAGAGAGCAAAATCCTTTCTTCACACATTTTAAAGTACAAAGACCGCAAATTCAGAAATTCTTCGTCTTGGGTTTTGGAGGTTTTAAAATTTGTCCAGCTTCTACTGCATTCTTCTTCTGGTGGTTGGTCATGTTTGGCGTTCACCTAACCCAGTCCATTTTGCCTCCATGGTGTTTTCCCGCATAACATAGATTCTGCACAGAGCTCTAACAGATGTTCCAGGATACTCATACTCCTGTCCTCCACAGCTACATGAAGCAAATTGTTGCCTATCCAGTAAAATTCAAGCTAGCTTTTTTGTGTATGTACAAGTTAATACAGTAATCACAGAAAGTTTATTCTATAAAATGAATGTGGTCAATGGAAGATCACATAATTCTGCGTTTAAAGCACTGAACTGGAACTTGCCAGAACTGCAGCATTTGGGGCCAGCCATACAATCACTCTCTGCTTGACTATCCATGTCTAAGCAAATATCATGCTTATCTTCTCTTATCCTTTGTCCAACTCCTTTAGTTTAGACTGAGAACTCTTTGTGGTATAGTAGTAAGGACAATAGGACACTCTCTCAGTTAAGGCCTGAAGATTTTAGAACAGCACAAATACCACATTTGAAAAATCAAAATATTTCCTGCTTTTAGACAGATGGCTTTGTTTCAGCTTCTCAGAAGAGGGGCAGAAAGGACTTGTGTTTGGATCAGAAATGTCTGCAAACTCCAGACTTCTGGGACAGCATGCCCTGGTTCCAGCAATTTTTGCTTTAAACTGCATTTCAGTAGACTGCACCTGCCTCTGAAGGAGCTCTGTGATATTCCACCTGAACAGACCACAGAGTGCTACCAGATTCAGTTCTCATGTTCGAGTGAATTATACAAAGATGAACTTTAACTGCAAACAAGCATCGAAACCCACGTGGCCGAATGCCAGCAGCTCACTGCTGAGCACTGAGACTAAGCCAACCTGCCCAGCCTTAGACCCCACTGCAAGATGTTACCTCTGGATTGCCACTACGCTGCTCCTTGATGTGTCACAAATTGTGTCCTCTCCAGCAGTGAAATCACCTTTAAATTTCATGCAGAGCAAGTCTAATAACTTGGACAGGGGGCCTTTGAAACGGCTTGCTCTGTGGTGCTTATGCACTTGTGATGGTAGATAGACTATCGCAAATTTACAAGCTCAAGCTGGTGTCAGATGCTCCCTGGGTGGATTTCACATGATGCAAATAAATTTACCCATAGCATGATTGTAGTAAAGCAAAACTTACCTCTGTTTTCCCTTTACTTTGACAGGACCTCCTGGTGTCTTCATCTGAACCCCATGCTGTTGCCTAAGAAATCAAAATGCACAAGTCACATGACAATGCCACCAACCACCATGTTTGGAGACTCCCAAAGCAAGAGCAAGTACCTCCAGCCAATTTACACAGCCCAATTTAAAAGCAGCGTTGTGGCAGTAAACATGTATCTTGCTCCCACTGTGCTCACAGTGCACACAAATGATAAATAGATGAGAAGTCCAGAGGCAGAAGCAACTGGAATGTTAACAGAGGACAGACTTTAATTTACATGTAAATACAACTTTTGATCATCATTCAACCGGAAGGTCCAAGGCATAAGCCCCACACACCGAGCCATCACCTTCTTTTCAAAAAGGACAGCGCTGTACAAAACCACCAGCTTTCATCACCAAAATGAAAACCTTCCCTACAGCAAAGTCCAGTAGCTCTGCACAAGTATGCTGCTCTCCTTAAATACACCCATAAGATTATCACCTTCTAAGTAATCCTGCAGTGAAGTGAGCTGGATAAAACAACAATTGGGAGCTGACAGGTGAAACCCGGAGAGACGAGAAGCGGGGAGAAAGGCTGGATGGTGATTTGTGACGCCAGACAAGTGGGGTCAGATTCCAAGGTGGAGTAAAACACATTAGTGCTGAGGGCACTATTGAGTGGGGGCCAAGCGCACAGGGGATCCTCAGTCGGCTCTGACTGGTTGCTTCGGAGCAAAGAGGCCCTTTCCTTTGCAAGAAAAGTCAAGCCCAGCAAAGCTGCATTAGAGAGAACTTTTAGATTTAAAATATTCAGCAACATACCCAACCATTCAGTGCCCTCCACAATTTTCCTCCCTTCAGCACTTTTTTAAAATAGTCCTAACAAATTCAAGCAGGTATTGTTAGCTGGAGGTGAGAATACATATAAACATCCAAGCTATACATAATACATCATTCTGAGTACAAGAAAAATAGCTCTGTTACGTAGGG